ATTTACAGCTAAGAAATTGTGGACATTACAGAAGCATTAAATTAGATTTGTTTAGGTTTGTATTCCTTTTGGATCATCCTGTACACTCAAGCTTGTTTATTTATTTATTTATGATGAAGGAAAGCAAAATAATTGTAATTAAAGGCAAACATATAATATTAGTAATGTTTATTTACTGAATAATCCACTTTGTTTTGTGGAAGATGGGTTAAAATTTTAAAAAGTTATTCGTCTTCCTATTTTTTGCCATATAATTTGAAAACAAAAAGTTTAAAGAGATTTAACAAACAGTTCATTCAATAATATGAAAAAAATAAAAACAAGCAAACCAGTGTATTACTCTATAAATTAACTGTCGTGACATATATAATACTTTGATTTTCATTAAATGAGATCAGTGTTAATGTTAATTTTTCTTCCGAAATAGTTAGTACGTAAATTAGGAAAGGAAAAGCCCTCAAATTTGGCTGTTCTGACATGGAACGCTCCATCAGAAATCCTCAAACTGTGACCTTAACTATGTTTGCATTGGATTTAGCATATTGACTTGAGACTTTATATTTAGAACATCTTCCTCGTGACATGTCTATTAAATCTACATCAATATCAAGCGAACTGCATCATCACGAAAGGCTTTTATTTTCCCATTGATCTGTTTTCATATTGATTCAACTTTTACATTCCAAGACATTGAGGAGTCAATGGGAAAATGTTCAAGGCAAAACACTGACCACTCCAAAGTCAAACATTGATTTTAGATACTGTATGACGGCACTGAATAGAGACATATCATGCGACAGTGTTGTTGTTCATATTTATGTTTCATTTAATAACCAAAAATACTGATAGCTTCAGTCAGGTTATATTTAAACTGAGTGGTTTGCAGTTTAATATTCATAACAGTTGAGACAGCCTGTCATTTGTGTTTTAATAACTTGCTTGTAATTAACAGCGCCTGAATGAATGTGCGGAATCGCCTTGGTTGTTTACACCCATGTGTTTTGGAATGGTTCCAAACAGTTGTGACATATTTCTGAGACTGTTGTGAATATTAATGTCCATTACAAAACTCGCATGGGTGTCAGAATGAATATACACTTCCCGTCAAATGTTTGGGATGTTTTAAAAGAAGCCTATACTGCTTATTAATGCTGTGTTTTTGGATCAAAAATACAGTAAAGCTTAGAGCTGCATCATATTACAAAAATCGGGTATTGCAATATTTTGTTTCTTTGCGGTTTTTATTGCAATGTTAAAATAATTCCACCAGATAGCTTGAATAGCTCAATTTGGAAAGAAATCCTAAATTTTGATTAATTGAGGGGCGTTTTGTAAGGGTGTGAATCATGTATACAATATATAATAAAATAAACAACATGCAAGCAAAATTAATTACTATAGAACAAAGAAAAGGTTCAAATAAACAGTTCTTTATGCTTTTCCGGAGAGTCAAACAATGTTCAGACACAGAAATTGATTAATAAATGTAAAAAATAAAACTGTATATAGTCCTCGTTCTAATAATTTAGTAAAATTATTCTACATTAAAGTTACTAGGATATTTTTTTGTGCCTAAGTATTTTAGGCTCACTTGAAATGCAAATGGCCTACTATGGTTATACTTTACAATGGCACCACAATGTATTCTCAGTTGTTGTGCTGATTAACCATAATCCCAAATATAGTTATAAAATATAAAATTGCATATCCTACGATGTGGCTACTGTGGACACACTCATTGCGATATTGATACTGAAACAATACATTGTGCAGCCCTAGTAAAAATTGTGAAATAATAATGTTATTTAAAGTAAATTATATTCTTATTATATGTACTGTGTTTAACATTTAATCATTCCATTATAATATGCTAATTTGCTGTTAAGTTAAACAATGATTTATTATTGATGCTACTCAATCGTTAATAATGATTCTAACAGTTATGAATAAAACGGTTTTCTTGCTGTATTTTCCTGTTTTTTGGGAGGATTCTTTCATAGACAGAAATGTGTAAAGACAGTATTTATTTTGAATAAATTATCGTTATTGTTATTAATGTAACTTTACTTTCACTTTTTTACTTTTTTGAACAACTTAGTGTGCTCTTAGTGAATAAAAGCAAATCCATTTTAATAGTACTTTTGAATGATACTGTTTCACAGTTTCCACTTCTACACTGATACCAATAATATATGTTTGTTGAGCAACAGATTATCTTATTTAGTTGATTTCTGAAGAATAATGATGCTGAAAATTCATGACAAGATATTTTCCTGGCCTGGAAAAGTTTTGGACAAACAAACCAACCCAAAATATTTTTGAAAAGTCAGGGAAATGAATTTGTTTAACAAAAATCTATTTACTTGAATATGTTTGAGGTGATAATATTGGGTTCATTTTAAATACAATTGTGCAGTTTATCTCTTCTCTGTGTGGGGTAAAAAAGTAACTCGCAGTTTTAGCTTCGGCTCTCTTTCACTCATATACGTAATTCAAGCTACGTTTTTTAAGTGTGGTGTCCAGAAACTATCTCTTACCTACAGGGCTAAGATACTCTGGGGGCTAAAAGCTAATTTGTACTATTTTTATAGGTTTTATGAAAACACAAACATTTCTAAAAAATTTGTAAAAAAATAACAAAGCAAAAAAAAAAAGCAAAAAAAAAGATATTACATATGAAAAAAAAATTACTTGTACGCAGACATTACATGAGAAATTAGGTCATGAATATTTACCTGAAAGTTTTGAAAAAGTTCTGGAAAAGTCCTAGAATTTTTTCTAGAATTTTTACTAGAATTAGTAAAAATGTGTATTAACTCTAAATAACTTAAAATGTTTAAATGGTATTAATACTTCTCTATTTTTACTGTATTTTTGATCAAGTAAATGCATCCTTATTGATTAGAATAGGATAAAAAAAATAAACAAATATTAATTATTCCAAATTAGGACTCAACAATAAGGACTACCTGATGGCCCGCCGCCAGCATGAGAGATGCTTTGGACAGTAGACAGGATCGTTACTGGCCCAATCGACCCAGTACTGCCTTGTCACTTAAGCCTATTTTTCACTGCACAACAATTTATTCATTACTTTCCAATTGAGAGTAGTCCGGGAGCTGTGTGGAGTTCCGATTATCTCCGTATGTGGAAAATTCGAATCCAATTTGAGCTGCAGATGCGTTAAAATATTCTAACTCCTGCGACTAGACTGTATGCGACCGGATGTGATGTATTTCAGTGTTTTCCAAGCAGGTCTGTGCGTGTGAGATAAGAAATAGTGTTTTTTGTCGTTATTTTTTAAATCAGAAAAAGTCTATATTATAAAATTAGTCTATTCTTAAATGAGTAATAAAATGTTTTTATTATGTCTGCACATTCCCTCCAAAAGCTGTCTGTGAGTTTCTTGTATTCATTCATTCATTCCATGGGGAATGTAAAGAGAATAAAGGCTCTTGCTTTTGTACTCCTTTATTTCGGACACCGCGAGCATCTTCTCTCCCATGGTGCACGACAAAACTGAAAATTCTCTGCGACTGCCACAAGGGGGTATATTCCGACTGTTGTATCCAAATGTCGTGTGCGGTTGGAAGGAGGCTTTAAGTTTCACTTGCCTGCGAAAATTTGTCAGTTACGTGCAAATACAGTCTTTTTGAGAAACAGTTTGTGCTTTTAAGCTTTTAATTGCCGCCATCTCTGTTGTTGTAAACACCATACTGCTTTTCAGTTTCTCTTATCTGTTTGCAAGGGTGTAGCGGTTGTATGAGATCCAAAGGTTTACATTCATATAATTATTAATCACGTGTTTCTAAATGGTCTGTCTCTAAAAGTGAGGGGGATGCTACGCCCCTTTCTGTTTGGATGTTGTGAGCACGTTATTTATTTCTCATAAACTTGTAACAATCAGTACAGTGAAGAGGTGGCAACATGGCAGCAACATCAAATTCATTCATTCATTTTCTTTTCGGCTTAGTCCCTTTATTAATCTGGGGTCGCCACAGCGGAATGAACTTACAACTTACAATTGATCCAGCATATGTTTTAAGTAGCAGATGCAGCTGCAACCCATAAGTGGAAAACATCCATACACACTAATTCACACTCATACACCACAGACAATTTAGCCTACCCAATTCACCTGTACCACATGTCTTTGGACTGTGGGGGAAACCGGAGCACCCGGAGGAAGCCCACACAAACGCAGGGAGAAAATGCAAACTCCACACAGTGATGGCAACTGACCCAGCCGAGGCTCGAACCAGCGACCTTCTTGCTGATAGGCGAATGTGCTACCCACTGTGCAGCTGCTACATCAAAATATGAGGTTAAAATCTTGAAGCAGACATTTACATGGGTACAACACAACGAAAAAAATAAAGTGATGTTTGCCATCAGTTTGGCATGTCAGCAAACTTTTGTTAAATAATTTAGAACTGCAATAAAATAACTGCACATTTTCCATACTGCTCCTTATTGTTTTGCATAGAATTTTGGTCATTTTGCATTCAATAACATTTTTAAGATATTTAAAGTTTAAATTTTTGACACATTGTTTAAAACATGTGGCTAAGAAATAGCTATAAACCTTTTCTTTAGTGGGGCTAGTGAAAATCTTAGCAGGGCAAGTCAAAATGTGATCCACTGCTCCCATCAGCCTAGTAGAAAAAATCCTTAGCATTGAATCCTGTAAATACTTCCATAAAACAAATACAACTTGCATTTACAAAAAACTTTATTCTTCTCTACTACTGTGATGTTAAGGGTGATGGCAAAGAATGATGAACTACATTTTGAGCTTCTGTGTGAAATTCTTATGGCTATATTAAAGTGTCAAACAAAACCGATGTTGCCCGCACAGCCATTTTGCATGTTTGAAATACACATCTTGTTTGTAGCCTCCAGAGATGATGAAGAATATAATGACGCAGAAAGGGCAGATTGTGCGTCATGCGTGTGTTCCGGGAGGGCTATTAACTCTGTTCATTTGTCTGCGATCACAGTGCCCGTAGATGCAGCGCCTCCGCAGGGAAGCTTTTGATCAGTGAAGCTATCAGTGGAAAATTACACCCCACCAAAGCAAGCATGGCCTCTGATATCAACTATCAGGATGGTAAACCAATTTCCTTTGCATTATGGGAATTTCCTTTGCACCGGTTGTTGTTGTTGTTTTTTTTTTTTTTTTTTTTTTGGAATTACTTGGTGAAAAGCAGCATTGTAAATGTATGAGGGCCAAAGATGAGCCAATTCCTATTTACAAAAGTGATTTTATGTACATAGATAACATATTTAATACAAGTGTGCACATTTCAAATGCGTTTTTTTATGCAAATAAAATGAAAAAAAAAAAATTGGTCAGATATATTTCCATTGTCTTTTAGTGTAACAGATATAATGCATGTAAAAAAAAAAAAATGGCATACTTATTCTGAGCTGCACTAATTCAAATATCACATGACAGGTAATCATTCAAAATGTTATTATTATTATTTAAAAGTAAAGTTGGAAAGGAAATTGGAAATTATAGAGGTTTAAAATGATCTACAATGTCTACACCTTAATGCTTAAAATCAATATCAATGGTTAGACATTAATCATCAAAATCTGTATCTAATAGATACAGATCTATCTATCTATCTATCTATCTATCTATCTATCTATCTGTCTGTCTGTCTGTCTGTCTGTCTGTCTGTCTGTCTGTCTGTCTGTCTGTCTGTCTGTCTATCTGTCTATCTCAATTTATATTACAAACCCTTTTTTTAAATCAACACAAAAGATTTAATCCATCAAGGGAACGCAACATAAAGAGTACACATGAACTAAGTTGTCCAAATTAACACATTTATTACAACCAAAACAATCAAACAAATCATGTGTCAACTAAGTAAGAATAAAAAAATTTAAAAAAACTCACGTTCTCCAACAAATACACAACACTAACCTAAGACTAATTAACCCAACAATCAACAAAGCAGATCAAAGTAAGGTTTAAGGGAAAAAAAAAACAGAAAAATAAAGAAAATAAAGGATTGATGGCTGGCAGTGAGGTTTCCCCTAATTAGTAATTAGGCTAGTTATTGTATAATGATGGTTTGTTCTGTAGACTATAAAAATAGATTAAAGGGGCTAATAATTTTGACCTTTAAATGGTGTTTAAAAAAATAAAAGCTGCCTTTATTCTAGCTGAAATAAAGCAAATAATTCTTTCCCCAGAAAACAAATATTATCAGACATACTGTGAACATTTCCTTGCTGTTAAACATCATTAAGGAAATCATTTAAAAAGAAAAAATTCAAAGGGGGGGCTAATAATTATGACTTTAACTGTTTGTATATTTATTTACTTTTTTATAAAAGTGATGTGAAAGCCATATTTGTGTGTTGGTTGTATAGGCCCAGACTTTTCTAGAAGAGACGAGAGCCCGACTGAAGACGAGCCCATCCATTCGCCTGGTTCACGACAAACAGAATATGAACGAATCGGGGGAAGAACTGGATCCTCGTAAGCACTGTGATCTTCACCTATTAAAACTTTTCTCTTCCTAAATACCTGTTTTGATTTTTGGGGGATTTTCTCAGTGTTTTACAGACCATCATTCATTTACTAAAAGGTAATATTGGCACAGGGCTGCTCGGTTTGCCTCTGGCTGTCAGGAACGCAGGACTCCTGGTAAGATGGAAAATTGAATTTGGAAATAAATGCCTGGTGTTGTCTTTTTTATTTTCAACTCCTCCGCTCTTGAACTCTGGTTATCTTCTATAATTGCTAGCTGGATAATTGCTGAGCTTTAGATGATCATGATTTTCTTATGTCAAACACCATGTCAGCTTTACGTTTTCTATTCTCTCTTGTTTCCTCTAAGTATTATGGTAATGTAATGTGTGTTAGCCTGCTTTTTAGAGAACAGTTCAAATGTTTCTTTTTAACTTTAATACATTAAACAAAAGTGAAATTAAAATATAAGTAGCTAAAAAATTTTACCTTAGAACTAAAACAAACAAAAGTAAAATAAAACCAATTTAAAATGATCTAAAACCATAGCATATTGATATTCAAAGCGGACTTGCACTATTAATACAAGTTAAAATAGTTACCCAGTTATGCTAAAATGCTGGTTAACTAAAATAATATTGGTCAATAAACATAGCTTTGTCTTTATGAAAAAGTTCATGAAAAATTCTACATTTTAATTGATAGAATATGTACTTTTTTCTTTATCACAATATAATTAATAATATTACGGTTCCAATACAGAGTTTGTTTTTGAAATGTATTGTTCTTTTGAAGGCTGCAATATTTTTTATACTAAATGCAGTAAATAATATATATATATTTTGAACATATTTAATTAATAATTACATTTTTATATATCATGACATAGCTGAATTATTAGCCGCCATTAAAAGTATCACTTTTAATTTAATTAATTTAATGTGTCCTCCCATGTTCAATAAACAGTATATCACATTTTTCGAAACAAAAATAAATAAATAAATATATAAAAATCTGACCCCAAACTTCCTTAGTTTTGCAACGCATCCTTCGTCATTTCTTTTTCATATCCATAATTCTGAGCAATAGCACACCTATTTCAACAGCCTTTCGAAACCTTATTCTTATCTATAACGCAAGCTAAGTTAAAAACTAAATGTTATCAAACAATTGTATGCCTAATACTAATTCTGAGCCCTATCAATCACTAGGATTTGACTTTTTTTCTTTTTCTTTGTACACTGCAAACTGCTGAGCATCATTTCCTTCGACTTCTCTTTGCATGTATGACACAGTGTAAAGTGTGTTTGTGTCATTGTGCCGCTGAGTAATGTTTTCAGCCTGTGAAGACCCCTAAAACCTCTCTCAGCATCAGCTGAGGACACACAAACAACAAAACACAATCTGACAAGAGTTTCACAGACGTCTCTGATGGATACTTACTGCTTCACTGCCTGACTTTAATATTTTTCTGACCTTTTTGTCTTTTTTGTCTTGAAAATAAACAATCAGAATCATGTCACATCATCAGATACACTCCCCTGTTTAATATCACATTTAATAGTTTACATTTTATTTGATCCAAATTCCCTTTTTTCATTTTCATTTTTTCCTGGAACAAAGAATTTTAAATCATTTGAAATGTTCTGACATCCATTTTTGGATACTTAAATATTCAAAAATAAAATTCTTTTTCACAAGATCTTTACCAAATGTTTGTTTTAGGTATAGGTTTTAATGTAGACCTGATTTTCAAATGTTCACGATATGACTATAAAACAATAAAGTAGCAAGGAAGTTAATGTCAGAGTAGTTCTGGACATGAAGTTCATGTTTTCACTTCCTCGTATAGTGTTTTGGCTATATAGATTCAATATTTTGCCCCAGTTGATGAAGAAAGTAATAGTTTCATTCAACAAGGGTACATTAAAATGATCAAAAGTCTTAGACATCATCAACTGTTTTCAAAAAGGATTCTATATCAAATATCAAAAAGAAAGATTGTTCTTAGTTTTTTCATCGAAGAATGGTAAAATAATTGTTTATGAAAATTATTAAGCAGAAAATAACTATTTGAGAACGTATAGTGTAAAATAAAAATAGAAACTATCGTTCAAAGTCAACATTCATGCTAATATGCAATTTCGTCATAAATCAGCTTCTAGTTTCATGATTTATGATGGATTAATGTGTGTCATTAAGTGATGCTGCAGACTGGAGTAATGATTCTAAAAACTCTATTTGTCATCAAAGGAAGACTTTGTTTCAAAAATAACTACAATGAAGTAAAACAAAAACAATATAGCACAGCAAAATGCAAAATTATTTTAACTTGCACATGTCCAAAAACAGTTGGAATAAGCATAAGCTTATTTAATTCTACCTTTTATCTACTCCACATTAATATTAAATAATGATCAGTAACAATAATCATAAAATAAACTCTGTGATTCTGTCACCTTACTTGTCCTACTACACTCTGATGGGTTGAGCGCCAGGGGTAGAAAACCCCACTACAGCTACTGCTGTAACTACAACTACAGTTAATTTGATAAAATAATAAATAAATAAAGTTTCAACAAATGTATAATTCAATTAAATAAACCAAAATCAAATGTTTAATCAACCAACTCAATATATTAATAAAGAGAAAAAGAGAAAAAGCTAAAATAAAGCAAACAAGCTTTAACTTCAACACATTTTAGTTCAACTCATCATAAACCAAACAAAATTCTATTTCCAGGCCCAATATTCTTTACAAGACAATAAACAGGAGACAATATAAAATTATTCTCCTTAAAGATGCAAATCTAGTAAACACTCAGAATAAGCAAAACCAATAGTAATCAAATTTGCACACAAACAACAATAATAATAATAATAGTATTTCAAGGCCAAAAACATCATAGATAATCTATAGAGTACAGAATATATAGCATTTCAAAATGTATTTTATACAAAGCAGATTTGTAAACATTGCCATTTTTGAAGAATTTTTTTTTTTTTTTTTTTTTTTTGCACTAAAACAAATGCACATTTGGGAGCACAATTTATATAACAGTAGAGTATAGAGGTGTTGCTTCACCATCAAGCCAAAACCACCACCATCTCTTAAACTAACAGATATTATGCAAATTGTAGTGGCTACTACAGTACATCTCTGTACGAGTAATATGTCAGATCTCAAGTACCATTGTCAGTTTACGCCCTAAACTTCAGGCTGTTTCTGACATTCATGCTCTGTATGATATTGTAACAGTAGTAGTCAGTGTTGTGTCGGATTGTATATGCTTGGTTGTTCAATGGTTTGATGCTCGCTGTCTTTGCTCATTCTGCAGGTTGGGCCCTTAAGTCTTCTGATCATGGGGATTGTGGCTGTACATTGCATGAACCTTCTCGTCAAATGTGCACATCATCTGAGCGCAAAGTAAGAAGATGAAATGCATGCTTCTGTTCCTTACTTTCTTGTCTGTTATCATTTGAATTAAGCTACAGTATAGTTACTGTTTTACAAACATGAATATAATACAAATACAAATTACAAATAAAAATTAAGGTAATACAAATATATGTTATTTAAAGTTTCAAAGTTCCCAATTTAATAAGACTCAAGCAGATATTATAAAAATGTGTATATTTATTTATTCATTTACTTGCTTACCAAGTCATTGAGTGTCAGAGATCTTTGTTTGTAACTTTACATTTTATTCTCCTTTTTTTTTCTATACAAGTATACAGTGCATCCGGAAAGTATTTATAGCACTTCACTTTTTCCACTTTTTTTTATGTTACAGCCTTATTCCAAAATTGAAATTGAATTCATTTATTTCCTCAAAATTCTACACACAAAACCCCATAATGACAATGTAAAAAAAATGTCAAACTTTTTTTAAATTGTTGCAAATTTATTAAAAACTAAAAACCTAAAAAATGACATGTACATCAGTATTCACAGCCTTTGCCATGAAGCTCTAAATTGAGCTCACATGCAAGCCTGGTTTATACTTCTGCGTCAAGTGATCGGCGTGACCCACGGTGCATACAACTCACGTAGCTGTGCATTTATACTTCTGCGTGCTGTTTCTGTTGTTCTGCAATAACACTTCTGAAACACTAGTTGGCAGTTAGGTGTTAATGTTCCTCTGTTTCGAGTTTCTTCGCTGGTGTTTTGTTTTTCCTGAACGTGTCCTTAATGTACAAGTGGCCCAAACTCGCTAATTTTGAGGCAGGAACCGACGGACGTGCAACTTTAATCTTTAAAGGTAAACACAAAAGAAAACTTTCCATCCGGAGCTTTCAGGACTCCACTCTTGTAAACAAGGGCTCTTTCGGGCTCACGTGGCTTTCGGTCCTGCCCAGACTTTTCAGCTCTACCAAGCCGACCAATCAAAGAGCTTGCGCTATGCGTCGTTGCAGTGAGTAGTTACATTTTTGATAGGTGCGCGTCTGCGACGCCAGCGGCCATGGCGTAGGGTTATGCGTCAACGCATAGGCTGAGCTGTAGAAGAATAAATCAGCCTTAATTTCTTTGATCTTTCTTACGATGTTTCAGCAGCTTAATTACAGTTTACCTGTGGTAAATTCAGTTTATTGGACATGATTTAAAAAAGGCATACACCTGTCTATATAAGGTCCCAGGGTTAACCGTGCATGTCAAAGCACAAACCAAGCCTGAAGACAAAGGAATTGTCTGTAGACCTCCGAGATAGGATTGTCTTGAGACACAAGGCTGGGGAGGCTTACAGAAAGATTTCTGCTGCTCTGTAAGTTCCAATAAGTATAGTGGCCTCCATCATCTCTAAGTGGAAGATGTTTGGAACTGCCAGGACTCTTCCTAGAGCTGGCCGGCCATCTAAGCTGAGTGATCGGGGGAGAAGGGCCTTAGTCAGGGAGGTGATCAATAACCCAATGACACTGTCTGAGCTCCATCGTTCTTTTGTGGAGAGAGGAAAAACTTACATAAGGACAGCCATCTGTGCAACAAATTAATCCTGTATGGTAGAGTGGCCAAACGGAAGCCACTCCTTGCCTAGAATATGCCAAAAGGCATCTGAAAGACCCTTAGACCATAAGAAACAAAATTCTCTGGTCTGATGAGACCAGAGAAAAAATTTTACTCTTTGGAGTGAATGCCAGGCGTTACATTTGGAGAAAACCAGTCATTACTCTGCACCAGGCTAATACCATCCCTACAGTGAAGCATGGTGGTGGCAGCATCATGCTCCGGGTATGTTTTTCAGCAGCAGGAACTGGAAGACTAGTCAGGATAGAGGGAAAGATGAATGCAGCAATGTACAGAGACATCCTGAATGAAAACCTGCTTCAGAGGGCTCTTGACCTCAGACTGGGGTAAAGGTTCATCTTCCAGCAGGACAATGACCCAAAGTACACCGCAAAAATATCAAGGAAGTGGCTTCACAACAACTCTGTAAATGTCCTTGGGTGGCTCTGCAAGAGCCCAGACCTGAATTATATTGAACATCTCTGGAGAAATCTGACAATGGCTGTACACTGACACTTCCCATCCAGCCTGATAGAGCTTGAGAGGTACTGCAAAGAGAAATGGGCAAAAATTCCCAAAAAATGTGTGTGCCAAGCTTTTGGCATCATATTCAAAAAGACTTGAGGCTGTAATTGCTGCCAAAGGTGCATCAACAAAGTACTGAGCAAAGGCTGTGAATACTTCTGTACATGTGATGTTTTTTTTTTATTTGTAATAAATTTGCAACAATTTCAAAAAATCTTTTTTTTTTTTTATTGTCATTATGGGGTATTGTTTTTAGAATTTTGAGGAACGAAATGAATTTAATCTATTTTGGAATAAGGCTGTAACTATATTATTAAACAAAATAGCATGTCTGACCTTTATTTTTGTCTCAGTTTGTCTCAAATTTGTTTCATTTAATTAATTTTATTATTATCTGCTCTTAGGTTGGGCAAACCATTTCTTTCCTATGGTGATGCAGTGGAGTATGGGATGGAGAACGTGTCGTGGCTAAGCAGACACTCTATATGGGGAAGGTAACAGTGCTTACAAGGCAGTTTTTAAGTTCAGTAGTGTGTTAAAGTTGACTCACCGGTTGTGTGCGTCTTAACATAATCTTTGTTTGTCACGACTTTCAGCACATGATCTTTGTGCTAGGTCAGGCTTTCAGATCCTGCACATGACAGCAGTTTCGGTTTCCATTTTACAGTATCGGGTGTAAAATGTTCAATAAGTGTTTGACTGCTTTCTCTAAGGTGCTTTTATAATAGACAATAATGTAAGCTAAAAGTCTGGGTTTGTTTAGAATGTTTTTAAAGATGCTTCAAAATAGTTCACCCAAAAATATAATTTCTGTCATTATTTACTCACCCTGAGGTTGTTTTTTTCTGTTGAACACAAAAGATGATATTTTGAAGGATACTGGAAACCATAACCACTTGCACTTGGTAGAAAATACTATGAAAGTCAATGGTTAAAGATTTCCATTCTTAGAAGTATCTTTTGTGTTAAAAAAGTAAGTAAATAATGACATAGTTTTTATATTTGGGTGAACTATCCTTTTAAGATAACATTTTTTATTTTTAAGTCATGTAATTTAGTGCTGTTATTATTTATAATTACTTATAATTACTTATATATATTTTCAGGATAGTTTCAGTAGAAACTGTATAAAAATAATAGATGAAAATATTTAGTAAAAATTGTAAATGGCTTTGCTGTCACTTTTCAACAATAAAAATAATTAACAATGTGAATTTAGTTATGTGTGTACAACCCCCCCCCCCCCCCCTTAGACAGTTTGTCTAACTGACTTTCAGGATTCACGTTATATAAGAACAGAAAATAGTTGATGTATGTACCTGAACATAAAAAATAGTTTCTCTTTTTTGTGTTTGGTTTTTCAGACATGTGGTGAACTTGTTCCTCAACATTACTCAATTGGGCTTCTGCTGTGTGTACTTTGTGTTCCTCAGTGACAATGTCAAGCAGGTGAGAGACATCTAAAGTTCATATGCACTCCAAATTCACAATGTGTTTTTTGCTAGCACACATTATTCTTTAGGTTAACAGTTAATCTGCGGAAGTTAATCTTCTGAAAGAAAAAAAGTTTATTTTGGTAATCGTAAATTAAAGTCTGACCGTTTACCTTCTCATTTGGAGTAACAGTCCTTCTCTATTGCACCTATATCACGAGAGAACATTGTGCAAAAATTAAGCCTTGCACCCTACTCAATAGCCCATTTCAGTTGAAACCACTTCAACATACTGTAATAAAAGTCTCATGCCAACTTATACAGAAGAAGAGTACTTTGTTCACATCCTAATTTATAAAATGAAAACCAAGTAAAAACAAGTCATGTAGACGCTAAGGTTGCTGATTAAATTTACAGTGAATATATATTTTTGTACTATTAAAGCATCAAATATTCTGTCAATGGACAAAAGCTCCAAATAATAAAAAATAAATGTAATAATGTGTGTAAATTTCTTTTGTCACCACAAGAGGGCGGCATTGACTTTCAGTTCACTTAAACAGTCACCCAAGGTTGCTTTCCTGAACAAGACGATGTTTAACTTTAGTCGATAGTTTTAGAATTCACTCGAAATACAATATAGAATCAATCAGATCATTATTACTACTATAAAAGTAACTCTCCATTGTTTTGCATGTTGTAGGTGGTTGAAACTGCCAATGCAACTACCGGGAACTGTCACAACAATGAAACCGCTGTGCCGGTGCCCAGCTATGACTCTCGACTCTACATGGTCTTCTTCTTGCCCTTCATCATCTTGTTGGTTTTCATCCGCAACCTCAAGTATTTGGCTCCTCTGTCGTTTGCAGCAAACATTTGCATGTGTGCCAGCCTGGTCCTCATATACTACTACTGTCTGACGGTAAGACACGGGAAACACACACTCAGAGTACAGTACATGTAATTTGTTGAAGTGTAGTAGCCTAAGACTGCAATTTGGTATTCAGTACATACAATACAATGAGTAATTTATAGCAATTTTCTGGAAACAAATGTCGCACGATTGGACTGTATGATGTTGACAAAAACTAAACAAAAAATACATTTAAATATTTCGTCTTTCTGTGATTATGTATTGTCATAAAACTTTTTTTTTTTTTGCTAAATAATATTGAAAAAATCTGAAATAATTTATTATATTAGAAATATAAGTTTTTTAAAGGTTTTTTTTGGATGGTTGTGCATCTACATAAAATTTAGCTTTAAATAAACTTATATTAAATATGAAGTTATATTAAATAAGCAAAAACAGATAATTAAAATCTGATTAGTAATTACTAAGGCTTTAGAAGATTTGTGTTTCAAATAAATGCTCTTATATCTCCAGTAAAAAAATAAAATAAAAAATACTTGAAATATGTAATTAACGTAAAAAATAAATAATTCTACTACAAAAGTTTACCAAAGAAAACTTTTATTAATATTTCATTATTATTAACTTTTTTTATTTCATAAATTTTCAGGAAAGGCAATTTAATAGTTTAGATAAACAAAACTTATTACTAATATAAAATATATTAAAATGAAAAAATAACTTTCATGTATTCATTCATTTTCTTTTCGGCTTAATTCCTAATCCGGTGTTGCCATGGCTGAATGAACTGCCAACTTATCCAGCATATGTTTTATGCAGCGGATGCCCTTCCAGCTGCAACCCATTACTGGAAGACACCCATATATTCTCATTTACACACATACACTGTTAAATTTATCTTACCCAATTCACCTGTACCGCATGTCTTTGGACTTGTGGGGGAAACCGGATCACCCGGAGGAAACCCACGCAAACGCGGACAAAACGTGCAAACTCCACACAGAAATGCCAACTGTCCCAGCCAAGGCTTGAACCAGCAACTCTCTTGCTGTGAGGCGAGAGCGCTACCGCAGTGCCCACTCTGTAACTTAGAATTATATAATTGTATATTTTATAGTTAGGGTAGAGCGGGGATGAAAGTACCATTTTTCATAAAAACCTAATTTTAAAAGATTAAAAAATAAAATAAAATATATTAAAATGATTTAAAAAAAAAAAAAAAAAAAGCTAATTAACTTGTAATTATATTATGGTGTATTTTTAATTATAAAAGTTATGGGAGAACGGGGACAAAGTACCATTTTTCATAAAAACCTATATTTAAAAGATAATTTTTTATCAGAAATATATTTTGCTGTGGTCACTAACTCACAAGAGTGGTCTATCAAGATCAGGTGTTGTTTGTTTCAATGTAGAACAACTCCAATATAACTTCACTTTGAAGAAAAGTTGCGCCTTGTTACTTTTGATGTCATCAGCAGGGACGAAAGTAACACACGGGTGGGTCAAAAGTGACAATATTTGCTAGATTTCCTGGTTTAATCTTGTTTATTGTAAATATTTCAGACTATGATCTTGTTAACTGCAAACATATTTTGTCTTTAATTTTGAAAAAAAAGAGATTAAACTGCATTTTCATTTTAAATTTCAGGGGCATAAATAATAGTGCTACTTTTGTCCCTACAGAAACTCTTACCATTTAAACCTGATTTACTTTTAAACTGAGAAACTCAGAGATTGCAAACTTAAGGATGTGTTATTACACTAAATAACTTGTAAATTAGTGTGACACTTGAAAAGAGTACCACAATTGTAATAATAATAAAAAAATAATCCCTATAAGTATAAGTTTTTTTTAAAGATTTTTTAATGGTTATTAATCTACATAAAATATAATTTTATATAAACAAATATTATATAAACATAAAGAAAAATAGAGAAAATAGAACAAAAATACAAATGAAATAGACAGTGCTTTGTTTTATGGTTTTGTAAGGACTCTTAATGTATTCATAACACAAAACAGCATTGCGGTAATCTTCAATGCTCATGTAAAATACAATTAATTTCAATTATTGCTAGAAATTTTTTTAATCTTGTGCTTGAATGCTCTAAATTAACTTAGAAATATTTACACAGTAACAGACCCTAAAATGTGCAAAAAAGGGACAAATGAGAAATAATTTATTATGCTGGAAATATAAGGTTTTTTTGTATGTTTGTGCATCTACATAAAATATAATTTTGTATGAACAATTTGAAAACAGAGAGTAAATAGAACAAAGATATAAATGTAGTAAACAGTGCTTGATTTTATTAATTAAAAGGGATTCTAAATGTATCTTGGAAAAATCATAATTAATAAAACACCTAATTAAATAAACTCCATTGTTAATAAACATAATAAATAAAACTCTTAATGTATACATAACACAAAATAGTATTGCATAATCTTTAATGCATATGTTAAATACAAATAATTTGAGAGATTATTGAATCTCGCACTTAAATGCTCTAAATTGACTCTAAATATTTACACAGTAACAGGCCTTAAAACATGTGCAATCATAAACTTCCATTCTATTATGGTTAAACTTTGCGGTTTATCCACAAATCACTTGTGACTGTGCACACCCTGCGATGAGACTATTGCAGATGTGCACATCACAGTGTTGATGTCAAAACAATAGACTGTGCAACCCTATCGTACAGTGTGAAAAATTGCAGTGCTAAGAGGAAAAAAATAGATAATGGTACAATTACACAATAATAAATCTTTTAACCCGTTTACAGGCATCACAACCACTTGGTTGGTTTTTTGTCCATAGCTTATCATTATAATTATTTTTAAATGCATAAAGTGATGTCAGTACATAATTCAATTCAATCCAATTCAATAATTCAATTCCAGACTTTTTTTTTTTAAGACGGATCTGCTAAAAAGATGCACAAAAACTATATTATGAATTCACATTTATAGTTTACGAAGAGACTATAACCTTACCGTTTTTTTGAAGTGTTTGCATTTTCAGTACCCCAAAAAGTTGCTGTTGTGTGATATAAAGATAGCTCACCCCATGCAATCAAATTTTGTCATCATTTACTCACGCTTCACTTTTAAAAACCCATTTTAGAGGATAGATGAATTGTATCAAGTCATTCAGCTTGAGAGGATACATTCCTTGAAACCAAAATCAAATTGTAGGGCAACCTTTTCTGGATTTCCTCAAAACTGATTAGTGTTATACTAAAGATTTAGTGGAACAATTGCTCATACTCTGATAATTACATTTGAACATTGGGATTGCATTGATTCGTATACCCCCTTTTAATATTTATTTACTTTAATTTTTAAATTCATTTATTTCTATTTTTTGATCTATTGCTGGGCTTGCTATGTTTATACCAGAGGATTTCCCTTGTATTGTTTTTGTATTTAAAAAAAAAAAAAAAAAGGTTAAATAAAATCTATTGAAAATAATCAAAGTAATTTAAAAAAAAACTATTTTTGAACACAAAAGAAGATATTTTTTTATTTAAAATATGTTTATCGGAATCCATTATAATTTTTTTTTCTGCTGTTGAAGTCAGTGGGCAATCCTAGCAACCAGCATTCTTAAAATATCTACTTTTGTGTTTGACAGAAAAAGAAACTAATTAAAACAGATCCTCACAAATTCTTTAACATGAACACTATCCAGAACTGAAAAGGAAAAATGTATAAAGTTGACAACAGTTATAGTGTCATTTAAACATTTATTGAATTATGCACATTATAACTTGTATTGCTTATTATAACTTTTAACAACCTTAAAACTCACTACATTATGCATGATTATAATTCATATTATTAAATTAGTTCCTTTGAAAAGTCACAACACAATTTAGATTAAATTGTGGCTTACCAGAACATTATTTGGCTAAATATTTTAAAAGGATTGTCAGAAAATGATTAATAGTTTCCAAAGAAAGTAATAAAGTAAATAATAATAATAATAATAATAATAATAGTAGTAGTAGTAGTAGTAATAACAAAAACATTTTTGATAGATAGATAGATTGATAGATTGACAGATTGATAGATATTTGGATTTGAACCTTAAATCAAAGACCTTTTTTATTATTATGAATAATAATTTACTATTAATGCTTAAAAACAGAGCACAGAACAATACAAATACAAAAAGGCAAGAAAAGAAAAAAAAGGTCAGAGATGTACAAATACTAAATATAAATAAGACAAACAAATATACGTATAAGTCTGCATACTAAGGGTAAAGGCCGTGTGGAATTACAGAATCTTGAAGGTTTCAAGTAAAGAAAAGTTTTTGGTAATGGCTATTTTATTAGCTGTGTTGTTCATAAAATGTTGTAATTATATTAGCATAGCAGGATAAAAAGAGTTTTTGATTAATAAATTTGCATCTGTAAAAATGGTACCTTGTAAATATTATCAGAAGATTAATAACATAGGCTTCCTTTTCTATTCTTTTGTTAGTTTAAAAATCCAAAAATATCATGTTGGTATTCTAAACGAAAGTTTGGCAATATTTTGTCACTATGAATTTGGAGATACCGCACCATAATTTCTTTCAGAACTGACAATTTCAAAATATACGTGGCACTGTTTCTGACTGTGACCAATAAAATGATTATTTTGTTACCACTTTTTAAGGTATAATGCTTAAGCAACACTATATGTGTCATTAAAAAATGCATTGCTTAACAGACTATTAAACCAACTGCTTTTTAGTTATTATAACATTTTTCTAGCAAAACATTTTTAAAAGGTTCAAAAGGATACCAACTATAGATAATCAGTCCCAAGCAATCGTCAGGACCAAGCTTTTTCCTTTCTGGCTGCTGATTGAGCCTCAGATGTTATGGATGAAGAGTTAAGCGCCAATGACAGGTTTCAGGGTTGTTTTATAAAGCCCATTTCCTATTGAACAGCTTTAAATGCTTTAAATCAGAACCTCCATCTGTAATCAGCCAGGCTGCTGCTGAGAAACCAGCGAGTGGGTAACAATTTTTCAGTCAGGAAAGAAGATTTGTCATGGTGGAAACAGCAAGAGGAAGTTGGCTGAAGATTGCAAATTGGTTTACTGTTCGCAAAACATTTTTTGTGAAGAGTCAAGAGTTTCAAGTGCGCTTACAGGGCTGTCAAAAGAACACATAATCTTTCCTCTCAGTGCTTCTTGAACCAGCACACAACGCATTATGAGTTTACTGTAAATTCAGTGTTTTATGATTTCACTTGCACAGCATTTGTACTCCAAAAACTCTGCTTATACAGTGTAGTGTGTCAGTAGTTGGAGACTTTTTTTTTTTTTTAAGTTTTGCCAAATTATCATGAAAGGTACAATGTGTTGTGAATAGGAAATATTCAATACTTACTATTTAACTGTGCAGTAATTAAAATATAAATCTATATTACAGTTTAACATTTTTGAATAAGTTTTTATAGCAACTGTGCATTAAATAAGCAAAAACAGACATTAAAATCTGATCATGCTTTAGAAGATTTGTGTTTCAAGTTAATGCTGTTATTTCTCACTTAAAAAAAATTAAATATGTTATTAACGTTAAGAAGTACAGTAACAAGTCAACTTATTTTATTTCAACTAATTTCCGAGAAAGGTATTATAATAATTAGTCTAGATCAGATTTGCCCAAACTTGGTCCTGGAGGGCCGGTGTACTGCATATTTTAGTTCCAACCCCCATTAAATCCCAATTGAGGGAATTTGGAGCTAAACTATGCAGGACACCGGCAAAAAATTGAAACAGATGTTTTGAATAGTTTGTTTGTCAATTTGTAATTCATGTGAACTGTTAATTGCTTTTTGTTTGTTGTCTATTAGATCCATGTGACTTGTATACTGCCTAATCTTGGCCATGACGCTCTTGTAAAACGGATTTTTAATGTCAATGTGTCTTTCCTGGTAAAGTGAAGGTTATAATAAAAATATAATAACTTTTGTACCACATTACTTTCATCCCCGGTCTCTCCTACTCAATTTTATTAAAATTATGGAAACACTTTATTTTACAGTCCGTTTACTCATGTGCATAATATGTGTTTATTAACTAATTATGAAATAATAATTGTTGATCTATACATGAGCTATAGATAATAACCAAGTATGAACCCTAAACCTTGCTTTAAACTTAGCCTTACTTTTTAAAAACCTAAAAAAGAAATGTATCATGGCATCCACTAAAACATTAGTCAACAAAACTAAAAAGACAAAAAAAAATCATACTGCAGTGCACAACAGAATTATATGTACGCATGTGCATTTATAGCTGTGTGTGTTTGTAGCAAAATAGAAGCATTTTGATGATCTGACTTTTTCAATCCACTATAAATTCATGTAAACATTTTTTGAAATATTTGCTATGTCTCACAGACTGTCAGGCATTATTTTTTCTCCTTTTGCTTTGCATTGTCAGAATATTCCAAACCCCATCAACCTCCCGCTGGCAGGAAGAGGAGCTGACTATCCGCTTTTCTTTGGAACCGCAATATTCGCCTTTGAGGGAATTGGAGTTGTAAGTTGTTCCCTTGCTCTGATATGTGTGTCACTTCAGAAATGTTGAAAAACATGGTTTCTTACTCAGTTTTCATCATCTACAGGTGCTTCCACTTGAGAATAAGATGCAGAATCCCAGAAACTTCACCAAGGTTCTGTATCTTGGCATGGGCATCGTCACATTCCTCTACATCTCTCTGGGAACCATCGGCTATATTGGCTTCGGAGAAGAAATTCGGGGCAGCATCACGTTAAACCTACCGTTGTGCTGGTGAGCATTGGATCTTTAAGTTAGTCATCGAATCAAATCAAGTCTTTGATTACTCAGATTGTTGCTCTTGAGATGAACAATTAATCTGTGCAGGTCAAAGGGAAAGTTCACCAAAAAAAATCCTTACAATTTCTTTACACTCAAGTGGTTGAGTAAATGATGAGAGAATTGTATTTTGGGGTAAACAATCACTTTAATTTATAATAAAAAAATGTTTTGTATTGTGTTATGCACTGTCTAGCACAGGGGTCATCAATCTCGTTCCTGGAGGTCCGGTGCTCTGCAGGGTTTAGCTCCAACTTGCCTCAACACACCTGCCTGGGTGTTTCAAGTATACCTAAGACCTTGATTAGCTTGTTCAGGTGTGTTTAAATAGGGTTGGAGCTAAAATCTGCTGGACACCGGACCTCCAGGAACAAGTTTGTTGATCCCTGGTCTAGGAACATGAAAGACAAGACAAATAAAATATAAAATCCTTAGCTATTGGGGTTTTGAATTTAGGAGCTGGCAAGGCCAAAATTAGGCATAGCAGAGAGTCAGAACCATAGGGTTGTAAAACTTGTTATCATTAATCAAAATCTGGAGGAAAGAAATTCTGCTCTGGAAAGGATGTATTCAGTGTAGGTGATGTTAGTTTGACAACTTGGCGTTGATACCTTTTTCTATTACTATTAAGTTACTTTTTGCAAGTGAAAATGCTATTGCTAAAGGAAAACTCTGCCCCTTATTCAGCATTTTGTTTCAGATGGAAACGGGTGACTATAATGAAGTCATAAGGAATTTCCGGTTTATGGCAAATTTATACAGATATATTCAGTATTACCAGGGTGTGAATTACAGGGGTTTTTGGGGGGTATTGAACCCCCTATTTAAAGCTTGATCCCCCTTGAAGGATGTCAAAACAACATGAATGAGGGGTCAGTCCCCAGTCTCTAAATAGTGAGAAATGGTTTGCTTTGATCTGGGTCTTAAATAATAGTGATTATTAAATCAGTTTCTTTTCAGTTTAGTCCCTTTATTAATCTGTGGTCGCCACAGCGAAATTAACCATCAGCTTATCTAGCATATATTTGACACAGCGAATGCCCTTCCAGCTGCAACCCATCACTGGAAAACACTCATACACCTCTCTCACACACATACACTAAGGACAGTTTAGCTTACCCAGTGCACTTACTGTATGCTGCATGTCTTTGGACTGTGGGGAAAACTGGAGCACCTAGAGGAAATGAGAAATGCCAACTGAGCCAGCCGAGGCTTGAACCAGTCACCTTCTTGCTGTGAGGCAACAGCAATACCAACTGCACCACTATGCCACCCTTAAGTAGTAATATTAATAATTAAATGAATATATAATATAATCACATTTGAGTTCACCTATGACGTTTTATACCATTGTAAATGCATAATCGCACCAGTCTATGCAAACTAGGGTCAAGTTACAGCATGGCTAGACCACCGATGTACATCGTACAGTAAGTGTTCACAAGACAATTTTTTGGTAAAATAGGTGTTTGTTTCAACAAAAAGCCTAAAGTAAAGTCAAATTAGGAACATAGTTTGTATAGTTTGACCTACAGTAACCTCTGAAATGGCTAATCAGAGGATAGTGTAGGTCAGAATATACTAAATATCCCACAAACACTGAAAAACGTAAATATGCTTCATTAATAAATTAGAGATAATTTAGTTAAGTGCATACATTTGATTCACTGAAGCATTACACAAACTGATATTTTACTGAAAATGTTGACCACCCTGATCGTCAATGTATAATTCACACCTTGAGTATAGCTCTTATACATGTATGCCTGAAACCCACCATAAAGTAAAATACAGAAAGAAGAAAAAAGAAAGAGAAAAAGAGAGGGAGAAATAATAAAGTTTTGTTCAGGATTTTTTTTTCCATTTTTGTAAATAATAATATTTAGCAAGGACACATAAATGACCAAAAGTGACAGTAAATATGTTTATATTGTCACAAAACTGTTCTATTTTAAAAAGCATTCTAAAAGCATGATTTCTGAATGATTATTTGAAGCTGAATTTTGGAGCAATACAGCTGATCACCAGAATATAATATAAACACCATTATATTGGAAAATATATGAAAGTAATACGAGTGAAATGTTTATATATTTGTTTGTTTGTTTGCCTAAACTCTAACTCTACTTTCATTTCTTTGCTAGCTCTATACACCGAATTGCCGATATTTTAGAAAGTTTTAAGATTTAGGGTTTGTTTGTATCAGTCATATACTGTAGAGATGAAGCAGTTTGAATGAGTCAGTGCCCTGACAACAACAAAAAAGCTGACCCACAAACTACTTTGAAAGTGGGAACAGGCCCAAATCCAGCCATTAGAGTTTGTCAGCAGGGACCAGTGATGTGGAATGAGAAGCTGTGGGCTCCATGCACAATCACAGAGGTGTCAGTCTTCTGCTGCTGTTAACGGCAGTGCAGTGATTGATGTGTCACTACAGAGACCAAAACGCTCTTTCAAGAGCATTCGTGATTATTACAGATATCAGTGATACCTCTGTGATACTTTTATTTGTAATCTATTCCTTTTATGCTTCTCATTTTCTTTACCTTTATGATTTTGACATCAATAGCTTGAGAAATAAGAAAGGTATGCGATGTCTGTCTGTTCTGCAGGTTATATCAGATTGTGAAGCTGCTTTACTCTTTTGGTATCTACATCACCTACGCGCTGCAGTTTTACGTGTCAGCAGAAATCCTGATCCCGCCAGCGGTGGCGCGATGTGGTCCCAGATGGGCATTGATGGTAGACCTCAGCATCCGCGTGGCTCTTGTAGGCCTCACATGTGAGTCGAACTACAGCAAATACAAAACTAAAGCTTTTTTCACACACACAATCAAATTTAGTGTTCTACATTTGCATACCTGTGTCCACAGGGGGGTGTTATCCCTTATTTTTACATCTCAATGTTGACAGGTATGGAATAGATTAGTTTAGCCTATTAAAACTAATACCAGATATTGAACCCAATTATCAAGTTTCATTCACTTTTTCATTACTTTATAATATAAATATAAACCTACACTGATTCTGATTAAAATTACCATAGTTATTTAATGAAGAGCTGGGAATAAATCCCTTATTTTTATATTTTCTTTAAAAAAAAATTATTAACATTGAGTAACACAGGTGTCACTTTAAGACCTTCAGATCTATAATGACAAGCATTTGATTTACTTTTCTAACTGTTTGTGCAAATTTAAAACACAATCAGCTGTGATTATGCTAAAGCATGCCATGTTTGATTTGGACATGTGATGTATTTGTCTGTTTATTTTTGCTCCTCTTCAAATTGCATGTACCGTATTACTCTTTTTATTCTTCATATCATTACGAAGTGCTTTCCACAGTCACATACAGTTATGTGAATTAAATTATGTGAATTCAGAGGTTGCATAGGAAGGGTGACGGTGCATGGCTTCAATGCAAAAGAAGGGAATGCTGCTCTTGTACCAATAAGTTAAAAACATTTCAAACAAACAAACAAACACAAAAGCATAAGCGAATAAAATCAAAAGCATAATTTTCTTGAGCAACTCTTGTAAATTACATTTTACATTATATTTGAGAGCAAACCCCCCCCCCCCCCCCGGTGGTTTCTTGGTACTATTTGATTAGCAGGGCTTTCAAACTTATTTTCACTGAGAGCGTTCACTTTTACTACTCCTTGGCATACTGTTCAAATAATTGTCTCTCTTTATCTCATTGTACCATATTAAAGTAACTAGATACATACATGTACCTGGATAAATGTAAAATAGATGTTAATTTTCTGGGTTTTTTTGACATGAGTCATTTTATTAGTTTAAGAAGCTCACATTTATCAAATAAAAAAATAACAAAGACAAATATCATCAGACACCAGTCATTATCTTTCTCTGAAACTCTATCACATTTGAGAGAAGCAGAACTGTGAACAACAAATAATTTTGAATGGGTCACAAAAGAAACTACTAGCATTATGGGAGATGTAGTTTTAGTCAATATACAACATAAAGCAACATGGGCTTTTATCATAATGCTGGGTTTGCACCACATTACTCAGTCTAGAGTATTCCCAGGATGCTTTTCACCTCGTACAGTTTTTTTGATAGAGTTGAATATTTTGCATATCGCAAGATGATTGAAGCATTTTTTGTGTGTTTGCGAAAAATGCATCTTGCATTCAACATCATTTGTGCTACCCAGTTTGCGTTGTATGTTACTCACTTGCAAGAATACTTAAATTTGCATTTGATGTGAATCATATGCTTTCGTCAGCCAAATGAAATGAAATGGTGTGCCAGATTTGGCCCATGGGCCTTGAGGTTGACGCATGTGGTGTATAGTGAGGATTGGCTTTGTGTAAAAGATGTTACTGCCACCTTTCATAGAAAGATTACAAATATGGGGAAAATATTTTAACAGAATGCAGGATAGAATGGTAAATTACAGAATCCCTGGAAAATAGGAGGGTTGACAGGTATGCATTTGAGGGTGAGTGCAAATACAAGCATTGCAAGCTAGAAAGTTTCCTCTTTATCTTTTGTCCTTTTCTGTTCAGAAGGTTTGAGTGAATTAAAATGATGTTGTACTATTTAAAATTAAAGCTGCTAGCGTTTTTTTATGTCCTCACATTCATCAAGACAGAAATGGGTATCTGTGTCACATTCACACCCGATTCAGACTCAACCTGAAATGACTTGGCAAAAATGACTCTAAAGTTTTTCTTTGCTATCCAAGAGGAACATGTTTTTATTTGTAGGCTATGCAGTGGTTTTAAGTGGGCCGTTGCTCATCGGTATGCAGTATCAGCGGTTTTATCAGATTCACTTTGTTTTGCACGTGAGAATCCCTGCTGCATTTCTCTTGTGTACATTTTCTTCACTTTTGAGCAAACACGCTGGGCCTCAGTTGCTGATTTTCCCTCTCATGGTTCCTGCAATGATCCAGTTATGCAGCTGTGCATCATGATTTATGGTTGTGATTCAGTAAACATGACAAAAATCATAACATGAGAGAAACAGAGACCGAATTAAAGTTTTTGAAAAGTTTATTGAAAATAATCTATAGTTTACTAAAAATAACAAATAACATGGTTAGTTAAATTTTGTTGATATTTTAGTAATATTGTGGTTCTACAATCAACAAAAGCTTGATTGCTACTTTTTGCTATTGTAAATTCATAGTTAAATTATGCTAGAGATGCAGTTTTTTCTTGGAAGGTCTCATATAAATTTTTTAATGTATTTTTGTATTAAAATTTACATGAACCAAACAATATACAGTAGTCATTACTTCTGGAAAAACATGTTAATATAAGTAACATGTATTTTAACATCAGGTAACAAAGGGGCATGGACAATGTTTTGTTGGTTTTCTTTATTTTTAGTTTTTTAGTTACACTGTCAAAAAAAAAAGTAAATTAACGGCAGTTAAATAATAGAAATTTACTGTAAAATACCGAATATTAAATTGGTAGATAATTTCTGAAATTTAACTTCCGCTATTTTACAGCACATTTCTGTTAGTTAACTGCCATTTTTGCAGTATTTTTTGCTATTTAACAGCCGTTATTTTACAGTAAATCTCTGTTATTTAACGGCGGGGGGGTTTTCCTGCACCCCGGCTGCCAGAAAAGAAACGTGAAATAATTTTTTAAACATTTTTTTATTTACAGTGTATGTAACTGGATATTTAATAAATGTTTCAATTAAAATATTGTGCACACACACATAGATAATGCACAGGTAGCTCCAGTCAGTTTTGATCACCATTCGAAATATAGGTATTTAAACATTAGTAGTAACCATTGCAACTCAATGGCAAGGAAAACAGTACTTTAGTTTTTATATCATGAAAGAAAAACACACGAAAGAGAAAAGCACAGGGAGAAGAACTCGGTTATGGAGAAATTCTCGTTTTAATTGATGACTACAATTAACACAAAACACTCCTTGAAAGAAAATTTAAATCTTCTTCTTTCACAAACCGAAAAACAATGCAAGATTTTGGAGGGGGAAAAGGCTGTGAGTAGAAGTAGATCATTCTATATTATCATATCTAAATGTAAACTAATCTCAATGTTGTTTCTTTTCTACTATTTTACATGGGGGGAGGCTGCCGTAAATATGGAATGTAGCGTTACGTTTAAACGTAAAGTTCAGTGGAGCAACACAGAAATATTTAGTATTGCGCAAGTTGCAACTTTGTGTCCCTAAGTCACAACTAGGCTACGTTTTAACTTGCGCACTGCTGGTGCAACTGGCCCCTGTCAATTAGATCCTGTTCACACTAATATGTTTCAGTTTTAAAACGGTGTTTTGTACGAAAATGATCCATGTTCACACTGGCGTTTCACCTAGCGTTTATGAAAAAACCACAGTCCACACTAAATCGCTAAAAATGCACATCACGTGATGGCACACACACTCTGGCATGTGCTGCAGCATATGCAGACGTCTGAGCTCCAGGCAGTCAGCGGGTGCTTTAAGCATACCTCCCCAGATAAGAATTGTGCACGTCGGACAGTTCATTAAGGATCTTCCGCTGGATCTCATCTCACTATAGTTGTTAAACGTGATATTAATTAATCTTCTCTCTATCTAATGACTCTTTTGTCTTTTAAATCTATTACTTGTTCTCATGTAACAGGTTTTGGCTGAGAGCAAAGATAAATTAATATATTAATTAATGTAACCACGTACACTGATTCTGCACATTTGACTGATTGTTTGTCTTTATTTTCTATATTGTATAGACTTATTGTAAATTATACATTTATAATGGTCATTGTTAATTATTAAAACTGATATTCAGCAAAAGAGAGGGTATGTTTCATATTTTTCGAAGAAAATGAAAGAAGGCAGTTATTTTATAGGCTCCTTTTTGTTATAAAAATGCATACAGTGAAGATGATAGTCAAATAAATGTGGACCTACACGAGTGTCTTTTAAGTTGTTAATATCAAAATGAAAATAGGCAGTTCCTCATATGATGTTTTTTTTATTTTATTGTTAAGATAGTGAAACAACGTAGCCATGGTGATGTGAATGAGGTTATAAAGTACACTGTTCCCTTTGAAGATTTACCCAACGTGTCCTCTGGAGTTTGTTTTCCATATCAAACTTGCAAAGTCTTAAAGGAAAGGGTGCAAGACTGAACTTTGTGGACTTATTATTGAGGGAAAAGCCCCAATCAGAGAGGCGAACGTCTGCAGCCATGCCTTTAGATGTCTTCATTTCCCACTGACATGGAGAAGCAGCGTTTTAAAACCAAAATCTTTTCAGCGTTTTCAAAAATGCTCCATTTTCGGGGCTCGAAAACTCTGGGGCTACTAATGTGGCTCTCACAGCCACATAACCATTGCATATCACTATGCTGAATGATTTCAGTTACTTCACATACTATCAAAAATGAAATCAAAACAAAGCAAAACAGAAGACTTTGGATGTGATGTTTGTGAATCTGCTACCAAAGACAATAGAATTAAAGCCTTTCAGGGACTTTGGTACAACAAATAGGAGCAGTTGGAGGACAAAATCCTGAGAAATATCTTTAACAGTGTTTCATTCAAAAAGCCTATAGTACAAAGATCATTCATAATAAATAAAAAATAAGAATAGTGTGTTGTGATTTAATGGATTTTCATGTGACTTCAGCGATCTCTAAACCAAATCCATCAACCGTTGGGCCACTTGCGTCAAAAGTCAGAAGTGTTCTCAACGACTCATTTGCTTTTGCACGCGCTCATGCGTGTGTCAAACCGTCTCCTTTTCACCGCAGCTCAAGGTTGTTCAGGCACTT